GCATTATCATCCTGAAAAATTATGTCATCATCACCAAACATCCTTTCAATTGATGGAATAAGAAGTGTCCAAAATCTCAATGTATACTTGTGCATTTACTGAAGATTTAATGACTGTCATCTCCCCGTACCTTTACCTAACATGCAACCCCATATCATCAATGATTGCGGAAATTTGCATGTTTTCTTTGGCAGTCATCTTTATACATTTCATTAGAAGCGGCACCAAACAAAAGTTCCAGCATCATCACCCTGCCCAGTGCAGCTTTGTGATTCATCACTGAATATCACTTTCATCCAGTCATCCACAGTCTATGATTGCATTTCTTTAGCCCACTGTAACCTTGTTTTTTTCTGTTTAGGTGTTAATGATGGTTTTCGTTTGGCTTTTCTGTACGTAAATCCCATTTCCTTTAGGCAATGTCTTACAATTCAGTCATGGACATTGACTCCAGTTTCTGCCCATTTGTTCCCCATTTGCTTTGTTGTGCATTTTAGTAATAGTTGGATAACATGGTAAGGCAATACATGGATTGAAGGAAAGAAAGTTGCTTTATTCCAGCATCAACACAGTAAACATTGATGGGAGAATCCCTCACACAGTGCTATTGTGTTCTGCCAGTGGGGAAGGCTCATTGCTGGTGGTTATAGCCACTGACAGTGACCAGATGAAAAAAAAAAAAAAGAAAAAAAAAAAAAAGACAGGCTGGTTGAAATCGATCGATGTCCCTCATCTCACTTATGCTGGGTAAAATAAATAGACCATAAATAGTCCAAAAGTGGTGGGTTCAGCAGGAAGCGACCGACCTTTGTCCCTTGTATGCAGCTTCACAACTTGCTTCTGTTAAATGAGCATGCTGAAAAACAAACATCCGATCAGTGCTCGCAGCCAATGGCTGTGAGTGCTGATCAGTGTGTTTTGGCGGGGGCAGTCCTTCTGTCAGAACAAAATAGCTCAGTGGGGAAGATCGCCACACTAACATTGCTTAGTTAGTACGCAACCTCTGTTTTTTTTGCTCAGCAAACTGGGTGGAACATAATAAAATTCTACGTGTGTATCCAGCATTATAGTTTAGATATAACTTAATTAGGTTATGTAAATACTTCCAATCGACGAGAAGCTCTCAAATTTATTGTGGCGTTAGAGCTAGATTGTGTTTACACTGGTAGGCATAATGATTGGCATGAAGATAGGGAGTGGAAAATTATTGAAGTAGCTGCACAAAGGTAATCTTCAGGTGCTTTACATGAGAACCTTCAAGACATGTGGATCAATTAAAGAGTATTCCAGATTTACCCATAAAAGGGATTTTAAAAACAAGTTAACCAAGGCAAATTATGGAAATTCTTATTGAGATTAGGGTAGAGGACCCCCTGCCAATCACTGGTATTCAAAGTTTTTGGAAATTGCGTGATCATTTTAGATTTCCAATTCATTGAGATTCATTGGGTTCTAAAATAGTATACTATTCATGGTAAAAGTACATTTTGTATTGACTATACCCTGCCGATCCAAGATCTGGATGGTGCAAATCAATCAGGTCACCTTTTTATGGGTAATTTGTACATATCTGGAACTGTATTGTTTATTGGATACACAAACAAGGAAGGTAATTTGCCGAGTAAAAAAAGAAAAAAAAAAACAAAACAAAAAATTCCCTGTACTTTTTTCTGAAGATGACTGGGTGTATTGCAAAACAAAGTCTAGGATTTGTTGAGGGAAATTTTATGTCCAATATTTTGCAAATCAAACATTTATTGGACTAACAAAATTTTCAAACCTTTGCAAACGGTCCTGAGATTTCAAAAATTGGCCAATATTTAAAGACCATGAAAGGGCATCAAATGCTTTAAAACCTACCAGTACAAAAACCGCCCATGGTAGACCCTTTAAGAGCTTTGATAGGTCACCAATTTACAGTTGAACATTGTGCATTTGTATGTAGGGCCCGGCAAAGGGGTTACTTTCAATTTTTTTTTTTTAAACACTTTTTTTATATAACTTTATTTGCTGTCATAAAGGGGCTAACTAACCCCCTACTAGATAGCATGGACAAGTGACAGATTCTTTTTATGGAGGCACCAGGAAATTTATGACTCCCCTGTCCTCCACTGCAGCTTTGAAGCCCAGAGTTTGACAGCGCTGAACCCCAAAAATGCTCAGAGCTGAGCACTGCCAGAGTTCATTGTTTCACATGGTCCTGGGTGGGCAGGTGGTGGCATGGTGAAGAAAGAAGATGTGCTAAGACCTCAGTAGTGTAAAAATTGTCGGGCTCCTCTAAATAGCTTTTACTGAAAAGCCAAGAACTGCTTGAAAAAATGGTGCCAAGCTCACAGTTTCAGGCTTGCTTTAACCACTTGAAGTCCAGGTTGTTTTATATATGGCCAGCGGACAGCAAGTGGTTAAGGAGAAAATGATGCACTGCTACAGATACAGAATGTTAAGTGAGCATTGTTGACCTAGGACAGGAAATGTGTTACTCACAGGATCGCCAGATAAAAATTTAGGAAAAAAGCCAAATGCAGCCACTACATCTAAGGACTAGTAAGCTGATATAAATTAGATTGTTTTCTTGGGTTTAGATAAGCTTTAATGGTGAATCATAAACACAGTAAACTGTAATCCCCAGTTTTATTAATTAGAATAGAAGGTTTCAATGCAGGGACGGACTGACCATTTGGAAACTCGGACACTGCCCGAGGGCCCAGGGTCAGTAGGGGGCCCCATGAGATGCCCCTGGTACCTTTTTCATAGGCTTTTTTGAGTTTGGGCAAGGACACAGGGCCCCATGATCCCCTATTGCCCGGGGGCCCCATGAGTTGTCAGTCCACCCCTGTTTCAATGTTAAGCATTTGAAAGATAATGTTTGAATTAGTAAGTAAAGATGAATTTATGTGCCACCCACAAGTCTCAATCAGGCCTCCTCTCTATTTTGTCTAATAGGGATATTGTTCATATCACAACTGGGCAGGGTATGGCCCCTGAAAAACAGTATAATCCCTTTAGATTGTAAAATCCATGATCAGGACCCTCCTAATCCTTTTGTATTGAACTGTATTGTAATTGTACTATGTCCATTTATATTGTAAAGCGTTGTGCACACTGTTGCCATACTGTGTAATAATTAAAAATAATAATAAATATTTACAAGCCATGTGTACATCAAATGGGTTGGAAAAAGTTTGATCAATTAGCTTATCTACCTCTTTATATTACCTAGAAAAGCCAAAAGGCGCAGCCTACCAGGTGTGTTTTTTTGACATAACAGCTTTAGTTACATTATAATGTATTGTCAAGATATTGCTTCCGACTCTTCAAGTACATGAGAAGAATGGCTGCACACTTGAAACAGAATACATTCATTTGAAGTCAAAACTTTACTTAAAGCCATATTGTAAAAAAAATGGAAAAATTACTCTTGCCACACTTACAAATATTTAATGTTCTAAATTATAAATGTGGTGCATTCCTCTAAAGAAAATGCATAATTCATCAATACAAAGACTGAAACTATGGGGAACTTGTAGTCCTGAATGCTATAGAAATATATTCAGAAATTCCATTATCATACATAAATTTGAAATAAAAAGGGACAATACATACATTGAATCACATACTAAAAATGGGAGATCTGTTTTTTTTTTGTAAATTTTGTATAATGTAGGGTAATTTTAATATTTATAGTGTTGAGTACAACACTAGTTTCAGTCTTTATTCTCCAGTTTATATTGATGGATTACAATCGTATTTTCCATTTTTCTTCTTAGTAACATCCATAGCTTCAGAGGTAGCAAATAATCCTTGTCCCCTGATGTCAAAGTGACTGAGCGTAACTACAGTGACCTCTAGAAGCTTTTTTTCACTTTCATTTTTTTTTATAATCCTATGTGCGATTTTAGCCTCAATAACCCCTTGCATGTATAAGTGGCTGAAAAATATGGAATGTAACAAACTTCTTTCACTGAAGTTATATTTTTAAATAACTGGACAGTCAAAAGTTTTTTTTAAGATTAAAAAAAAAGGACTCCTGGGCCCTGTCAGTTTATTTTGTGCTACTTTGTTCTTTACTGTAAATCTAATTTGTGACGGTTTATTCTTTATATTGTAGTTTCAGAAAATATTAATGGTTATATATGTAGTATGGAAAAACATATACTGTATGTAATAGTAGATTATTATTTGTTCATTTGCATAATTATGTTGTAGCCATTAAAACTAAATCCTAGCTTGATTAAAAAAAAAAAAGTTTTGCATTTATTGAAAGACAACAATGTAATTTACCTTTAAATGTGAGTGGTGTAAGTACCTGAATATGTCTTTAAATCAGCCCCATGTAATACCCTGTGCTGATCAAGAAACACGCAAACAGGAGAGAGCAGAGAGACTTCTAAGTCTGCTGTTGCCGTTCATTTTCCACTTTCAGGATTGGGGCAGGTAGTTGACTTGGCTATACTGCTTAAATGCAGTATTGGGTCACAAATCTGGCTGTGCTCTTACAAATTATTTTGTAGTTAAAATAGCTTCCATAATTGTATCTCAATTCTCTATTTAACTTTTAGCTAGAGTTAAGCTTTGATTCACTGAGATAGTCTACAGTGTATTTCATCAAATTATTGTGCTGTTTACGCAGTTTAGATAAATATGAAAAAAAAAAAAGTCCTATCCGCTCTAGACAGACAACACACATTCTGGCATTCTATGCTCTTGTGGGCATAACCTTATTAAATTATCAAGGATTTCATAATTATTTTACTTTCTATTTCAGAAGTCCTTACTTTAATTTGAAATGGCTGAAGAGATTGGAAGTTTGGAGTCAGATGAGCATTATGAAGATATCCACAACTGGACAGAGCTTATGTACTATCTCAACAATTCGTTTCTCTCTCTGCGAGGTTGATTTAGACGAAGGTGTCAAACAGATCTTCCTCTTTATTTTGTATCTACTTACATTTGTTTTTGGTCTGGTTGGAAATTTACTAGTGATATGGGTAAACTGGCAATCAAGAAGCAGCAAGAGCTCCATTAATCTCTATATTTTAAATATGGCAGTGGCAGACCTTGGAGTGGTTCTTTCCTTGCCCTTCTGGATGCTGGAGGCGCTTCTGGAATACACATGGCTCTGGGGTGGATTTTTGTGCCGATTTACACATTATTTCTATTTTGCCAACATGTTCAGCAGTATATACTTTCTTACTGCTTTAAGTGTGGACCGCTACTTGACTCTAACATCGTCTTCAGTGTTCTGGCGTCAAAACCAGCAAAAGATCAGAAAAGGTCTTTGTATTGGTATCTGGGTGATTTCTGTCATTTTTCCCATACCAGATGTTATCCACATGCAATTGGTGGATACTTCAGACCCTGTGTGCATGTTTATGGCACCTTTTGAGTCCTATGATGAATGGGCTCTTGCGGTTACTCTTATGACCACAGTCCTTGGATTCCTGATCCCTTTTGTTGTAATCCTCATTTATAATCTGATGACTGCCTATCACATTAAGAAATCTGGAAGACCAGAAAGCCAAAGACACTGTCGGCTTATTTATGCCTACATATTGACGTTCCTACTTAGCTGGCTGCCTTATCATGCCACTGTAATAATACTGACACTTCACGGGTCCTACATCTTTGTCAACTGCCGCTTTGCACATATTCTTTATTTTTTCTATGAAATAATTGACTGTACTTCATTGTTTCACTGTGTGGCTAATCCAGTTCTTTATAATTTCCTCAGCAAGGATTTCAAGGGAAAATTCATTAATGCCGTTGTTAAGTACATTCCAAAGGAGAAAAGGGCTGGTGACAATGCTCCAGAACATTCCACGTCTGTTACTGATCATTCAGTTATAATAACAAAAGAACCAGGAACACTGCCTGACATTCCTTGCAACAATATTCCAGAATTAAAAATTTAATTTTTTTTCACTCAATGTGAACTCACCAGCCATTTTAGTCTTGCTATGGAAACTTGTATTGAGAGAAATATATGGAGGATAACCTTGCTGACCTCTCCTGAAAATCCTATTTTGCTTGCCAGCCTTACTGTTCCAGTGGCTTCAATATTGCCATTACTCTGATTTTGCTTGCTGCTAGCTTTTTGACCATGATTCATGTAACTAGCATTTCCCAGCCTACATTTTACAGTAGATGTTCTTTTAAAGGTATTAGTCAAGGAGCAGGCATCACAAGTAACTTAAATACTAAAAGCTCAATGTACCTGACTTCAAGGCTATGTTCTGTCCACCATCCATCCTTTAAGAGAGTGCCTGTATTTCCCACATGGATACTCTCAATGAACAGTAGTATAGATGTTGGCCAGTGTAAGCCTAGGAAAGTCAAGGGCTTCAAAACACCAATTTCATAGTGGGGAAAAAAAAAAAACTATTATGGTTAATAGGGTTAGAACAGGCACCTTTGGCTGATCAGTTTGCTTTAGCAGCATATACAGCTACCAGAGATGATATATGAAAACCAAAGCAATTAAAAATGGTGATGTTGCCTTCACCAATGTGTTGCAGTTCACATTTCTTTTTCTCAGTTAACATTCAAGAATGCAAATAAAGAAACATTTACCAGTTTGTGGTAGACAAGCATTGCATTTATAAGCTTATGTTTTCATAAATCATCACTACTGACCTTTGTGCTGTTCTCTCATATGTCATAATTATATTCAATAAGAGTTCCTTTGACTATGGCATTCAGTTCCATTTACTGCTCCATTACAATAAACCTCATGTGAATTAATATAAGCTCTACTACTAAAACACTTGCTATTTTACAGTTATGTGTAGTGATCCATAGTGGGTTCATAGTTTATTATATTCTGACCACAAATAGACCAAGCACTGGAAAATCAATTTCTATCCTGGCCACATGAATTAGTTTGACTAGCTCATGATATAAGAACATTCTCAGGAATGTCAGCCATTCTGGGACCATGATATAAATATCTATGGGTAGGGGCCCACCCCAACTGATAAAAGTTCTCCACACAAAAAAATTTTATTGGATGTAGAGACAAGGGGAAAACCCTGAAGAAACTTCATGAAAAAGGATCTTCACCCTGAGGCCTGAAGATCTGCCTAAAGATCTTCACCCTGAGGCCTAAAGATCTGCATTCCCTCTTCCCCCACCATCATTCAACCAAAAGTTTCCGATTAAGTGAAGGATTGAGGAAGATGACAAATAATCCATATATGAAAATAATGTATAACTAGTTTCCAGAACATTTTACCACGGAGAAATGGACAAACTGTTTCACGTACATATTTAATCTTACCCTATTTACCCTGGAATGCTAAGTAGGACTAAAGACAGTAAGAACTCAAGACGATGAAAAGATAAAGGCATTGCAAAAAAAGACACACTGATTTGTAAATAATGGATGTTTTGTTACAAAAGGTGAAATGTTTGTGTCATATTGTATTTCAGATTGTATTTTCATTAAAATAAGTAAACTAAGGAGTATCTTGTAAGAAAACTTGGTATTTAATGAAAGATTCCGTAAACCCATAAATTATTGACATGCAAATACAGGGGCCTTTGACATCTAAAACATTTCTCCAATAATCCTTAGTAACAGTAATATATATATTCTGCCCTCAAAACACTTACACATGGGAGTAAAAAAAAACACTCTTTTTACTGATCTGAACACAGGTGCCTTGTTGTCTATGGAACAATGCACACAGCTATGTAAAAACCAGTATCACAGAGTTGAATACAGAGCCATAAAATAAAAATAGAAAATTTTACATTTGAGTGCAGTAATTTACGGGCATGTGTGTATATGTGGATATATTGCAACACTGGCAATTAGAAGAGGATAAAAAAAAATTTTATATGCACACATATATTCACTAGATCTTTATGTGAACACCTATTTTGTAAAACAGCCTACTCAGTTTAAAATATATATGCAAGGCAAAACATTTTTTTCCCCTTTTTTATAAGTGATCACATGCACTCTGTTCTCTGCTGCATATGGGGCTTAGACAGATAGGGGCTGACAATCTGTAATACACTGATTTTCCCAGTGAATGGCTATGCGGGGGGGGGGCTTGTCAGCACAAGTGTGATCATTGGAGCAGGGGCGGACTGACCATTTGGAAAGGGAGGGCCCGGGGTCAGTAGGGGGCCCCATGAGATGGTACCCCATGAGATGGAGACGGTACCTTTTTCATAGGCTTTTTTGAGTTTCGGCAAGGACACAGGGGCCCCATGATCCCCTATTGCCCGGGGGTCCCATGAGCTGTCAGTCCGCCCCTGCATTGGAGGACAGGCAGGCTCTACTCCAAGCACAGCCAGAAAACTAACTGATCGCACTGGGAACTATGTGCTCTCATACCTATTGTGCACAGTTTGAAATAGGAAAGCAGGGGAACTGGCAGGAACAAAAGAAATTTGACACAAAGGAAGAAGAGCAATACAAAGAGAACAGAACACTTTTTTAACACAAGTTCATGATACAACAAGCACATATCAAAGAATATGAAATGTTATTTGCAAGGCTATCATGACCTCTGTGTTCAAAGCCATTGTTTCTAATTTTTAATGACTGGCATAGTACCACTGGATTGGTGTAAGGCCAATGTGGTGCCAGTATTTAAAAAGGGGTCAAAATCTTTACAAAGTAATTATAGACCTGTTAGTTAAACTTCTATAATTGGGAAAATACTGGAGAGTTTAATTAAAGACCACATAGATGAGTTCTTGCTGGGAAAAAATATTTTAAGCAACAGACAGCACGGATTCATGAAAGACAGAAGTTGTCAAACAAATCTGATTTCTTTTGATGAGGAGGTGAGCAAAATCTTGGACAGAGGAGTGGCGGTGGATGTGGTATACTTGGATTTTGCAAAAGCGATTGACACAGTTCCCAATACATGGCTTATGTGTAAGGTAGTAAGGTAAAGTCTATACTCTTTATGTATGAAGGAAAGAAACTTAATATCCAAACGCGGAAATGTTTCTTCACAGTAAGAGCTGTGATAATGTAGAATAGACTCCCTCAAGAGTTGGTTCTGGCCTGCTCAGTGGATTGCTTTAAAAAAGGCCTGGATTCTAACATTTATAGGCAAGGTTGATCCAGGGAATATCCAATTACCTCTCGGGGGATCAGGAAGGAATCTTTTATCCTGCAGGAGCAAATTGGATCATGCTTTGCTGGTTTTTTTGCCTTCCTCTGGATCAACTGTGGGTGTAGGATTATAACTTTTTTTTTTTTTTTAATGGTTCAACTGGATGGACGTTTGTCTTTTTTCAGCCAGACTATGTATGCAAGAAACACTGACTCAAAAATGTTTGCAACAAGTGTAGTCAGAGCTTTTTATTTGCATACATTTGTATACATCTTCCATACAACTATCTAACTATGATAGATTTCAGTGCTGCCAAAAAAGGAGGTACAGCTAACCCTCCAGTACTAGGCCTGGGACCCATTAGTTCAGCCATAGTACTGGGCACATACCCACACACCCTTCATTTCTAGTAGGCACCCCAGGTCTTGAAGCTATAAATGCAATTATTTTTTTTTCAAACAGACCTCAGATACCATGACAAAAAGGCAGTGCAGAGCCAAGGCTTCACCTTGTCTCTGACATGTCATATGACACAATCAAGGTGAGACCTAGAAATGAGGACTTCCCCCTGCCTCTCTGTGGTGTTACTGAGGTCTGTTAAATTACACAGGGCCATGACATTTGTTTATGGGGAGAAGGGGTTGGGTGTAAATTCCTTCCCTGTGGGGTTCTTGTGGGCAGGGAGCTTTTTGCTGTGAAGTGGGGATGGACAGGAGGGGATGGGGGACCAGTGGGGGTTTAGCATAGCTATATGCAGATTTTGGCGTTACCTCAGTTGAGAGAGCCTACTGTACACAATTAACTACTCTTTTGGGGGGGTGGCTTTAGGGAAGGGAGGGTTTGCTTTTAGCACCAATTTTTGTTTGCTGTAGGGGACTGCTGTGTTATGTCTTAGGGAATTGTAGTTACATTTTTACCATTGCTAGGAGATAAGAGTTTCTTTGCTTCTGCTAAAAAAAAAATATTTTCTATTATCCTCTAGCAAGGTTTTAATTTGTGTACACTGCATGCGGTGCATTTGCTGCCTAATAACCAAAGCAGAATGACGTGGAACCTGGAAAAGTGGTGGAAAAGAAGGATTTTTTTTTATGCAGAGCACTGCAAAGCGTGGCTACACTGTGGTTACATTTGTGGTAACACATGATAAAGTGTGTGTTTTACCTTGCATTGTCGCAATGAACCAGTGGGCCTCAAAGTTGTTAACTGTCTTAATCACAATTCGAGAAAAGCAGCATATCTGCCTTGTCCAGCCAACATAATCAAGTTTCTAGTTATCT